GGAGACTTGAGCCTCCTTCCTCAGATGCATGAGGAGTGGAGTGGAGAGGGCCTGACCCAGTGTCGCCCCTCTTTTGGGGTGTTCCCCGGTGCCAACTACCGCCCACACCCTCCTAATGATATCACTGCTTGACCTTCTCCCAGGAGTTGGACAGGTGAGTGAATCCCTATTGATCCTCCTGGATCTTTCAATGACTTTTGGTATCATTGACCATGGCATCCTAAGTTTTGGGCTGACATGGGATTTGGGGGCATTGCTTTGCAGTGATTCAGGTCTTTCTTGGCTGAACAATCCTAGAAGGTGGTGTCAGAGGACTGTTGCTCAGGCTTTTGATTATTAGCCTGTGGAGTTCCACAGAGGCTAGTACTGTCCCTTACGGTTTTCAGCATCTACACCAGGGATAGGCAACCTTTCCCCTTTAAGGGCTGAGGGACTTCAGCTCCCAGAATCCCAGGAGCTATTGGCCAACATGGGACTATTGGCCAACATGGCTGAGGCTTCTGGGAGCTGAAGTCCCTCGGCCCTTAAAGGGGAAAAGTTGCCTACCCCTGATCTACACGAAGCTGCTGGGAGAGGTCATCCAGATCTTTGGGGTTGGACGTCATCACTATGCTGATGAGTAGCTGTATCTCTCCTTTACAACTGCGGCCAATGAGGCTGTTGTAGCTCTGAATCATGGATGCAGTAAATGCTGGATTTGGATTAATAGACTGAGGCTTAATCCAGACAAGACAGAACTGCTGCTGGTTTGGAAAACTAACCTGGGATTGGGATAACAGCTTAATCTAGACAGGGTTGCTCTCCCTCTGAAAGATCAGGTTCATAGCTTGGACAGTGCTCTTGGACCCATCACTACTCCTAGAAGGCCAAGTTGCTGTGATGGTCTGGAGCATTTTTTCCCAGGATTGTCTGGTGCTCCAGTTGCGCTCTTTCTTGGGGAAGGCAGATCCACTACAGTACTTCATGCCTTAGTTACCTCTCTATTTGACTACTGTAACGCACTCTGTGTGGACAGCTTTTAACAAGTGTTTGGAAACTGCAGATAGTGCAAAATGCAACAGCCAGACTGGTCCTGTAACAACTACACTGGTTTCCAATTTGCTTCCAAGCTCAATTCAAGGTGCTGGTGTTGACCTGCAAAACCCTAAATGATTTAGAGTCAAGATATCTGAAAGACCACCTCCTCCCATATGATCCTGCCAGAAATTTGAGATTTTCAGAGGAGGCCGTGTTGTACGTCCCAAAACCTTCTGAAGTTAAGTTGATGGGTACACATAACAGAGCCTCCTCTCAATTGTGGAACTCCCTACCCAAGGAAGTTAGTCTGGCCTCATCTCTTTTAAACTTTTGGAGGGCAGCCAAAACGGTGAAGTTCTGCATGGTATTCAGTGTTTGAAATTGCTGTTTTAACTGCTTCAAAATTGGGTTCTAGAATTATTTTTAGACTGCTTTTAGGAGTTTTTAAAGAGTATTTTAATGTGTTTTTAAAAGGTTTTATATCTTTGTTTTATCTTAATAGGAAGAAAATCAACCCGTTTGAGATGTGGTGCTGAAGAAGAGTTCTGTGAATACCATGGACTGCTAAAATCCCCAATAAATGGATCCTAGAGAGCAAATCAGGCCTGAAATCTCCCTGGAAACAAAGATTACTAAAATTTAGGTTTTCATTGTTTCACCATATCATAAGGACTCACTAGAAAAGACTATAATGCTTGTAAAGTTGAAGACAGTAGAAAAAGAGGAAGACCATACACCAGATGGATAGATTCAATCAGAGAAAGCACGACTATGAATTTGCAAGACCTGAGCAGGGCAATTAATTGAGAAGTGGTTGACGCTCATTCATGGGGTCACCATAGATTGAAGTTGACTTGAAGGCAGTTAACAAAAACAAACTGTTTTAATTGGTTTTTATTTGCTCGTCTCCTTGTGGGCTGGGAGGTGATACACACTGGGGGGATGCAGGTCACACCAGGTGGCACACTAAAGGGTGCTGACACCACTGCTCCCCAAACATCTGCTTTTTGGCAGAAATGGGCTGGGGTGTTCATGTGCATTCCTTTAAACCTGGAGATCAGTGGAAAAGATGGTGCATGTGGGGCAAGGCTCAATAGAAGGTGAAAGAAGAGGCCCAAGATTTTTTAAAAAGTTAAAATTATAAAATTTTATTTAAAAACATCACATCTTACCAAATTTTCACTTTAACCACATGAAAATATGTACACACAAATACATTTAAGCTGTGTGTATTATATTGTAATTTAAAGGTATACTTTCAATTTTGCTAGTTGTCTTTATCACAACTATTGCTATTACATACTTTTTAAAACAGTTTTTAAAGAATGGCCTTGGTGTTGTATTGTTTTAAACTGTACAGTTTTAAACACTTATCTTTTTGAACTGTATTTCATTCTTTTAACAAGCAATCTGCTTCAATATAGTAATGCTATTTTAATGCATCACCTTTGTGTATGTTTTTAATTGTACTGTAAGCTGCTGAGTCCCAATTTGGGGGGGAGTGGGATACTACTACTAATAATAATAATGACAACAACAACAGCACATTCAATGATATACAGGAATTATGATTTGTGAGTAACATAAATATAAAAAACATTACTAAGGATTCTGTAAGATGTGGCATGGGAGGAAGACAATGGGGGGGCAGGTTTGACACCATGAATTACCTTACCAGGTGATACCAACCCTAGTGATGCCACTGGTGCTATAGAAATAGTTAAATAAATGGTAAAATAATGGTAGGTAACAACTGGTTAGTTCTTTTTTTTTTCTAAAGCAGTTAAAGTGTATGTGTCTGGATCCCATGTAGCTTAGGACAGGAGTCTCCTGTCAGTCCTAAAGACAGAGGAGGCCAAAGAGTAAAGATCAGCTAGGGCAATGAAGCTTGGCATCAGGCCATGGAAGGCTGCTAGGCAGGGAGAGAACCAATATCCTTTTTCAGGATTGGACTCCAGCTTAGGCAGTGCTGTGCAAGAAAAACTGGGAGCTCAGGCCTCCTACCCCAGCATATGTCCTTTGCTTCTTTAAATCTTTTAAAACACACATATCTGTCTACTCACATGTTCAGATGGGGCTTCTTCCATCACACATAATTTGGGTATGAAATAACCACCTTAGACTATATTGATACCAATGAAGCCAGTGGCTTCCGTGTCAATGGGATCTCAACCCAGTTCTGAGTTTAGTTCAAACTTTAAAGGAGCTATCCAAAGTACTCAAGCTATTTGAAGGCATAGTGTTCAGCACTTAAAGTACAGAGTAAATCCTAAGGTGGATTCACCAGCCACTAACATGGAAGCCATCAACGAGTACTATTCCCATTTTCCAGCAGCCCTTGCAAAAGGAAGAAAATGCTGGCAAGAGGGTCTTGAATAAGCACTTTATTGGTCTTGCTTATAGCTCTAGGTGGATGCTGTTTGTTTCTTGCTCTATTTCCTTTCCATGCTCCTCTCCCCTGACTTTGCATTTGCCTCCAATCCTTCCTGATCTAAGAGCTTATCACACTTGTAAAAAAACAGCTTACCTCTCTCAAGTTGAATTCTAATTTGGGAGGCAGCCAGGTCCTGTCGCACGAGTTTTGCTGCTGAATCCGCCATCTGAATATATCCCGGCTGCCTCCTGAATTAGAATTCAACTCAGGAGAGATAAGCTGGGTTTTTTACAAGTGTGATAAGCTCACTAGTTACGCCACTTTTATTGTACCTGCCTCTTGGACCTCTTGCCCAACTTGACATCTAGGCTTTTCATCTAGAGCTAATGTGGGCATTAGGTCTATATAACCTACGTGAAGAATTCAGATGGAAAACAAGTGGCCAGATGAGCTGAGTTATTCCAAAACTATCAGCTTACTATTCTTAATTGTCTCTTCTATGTTCTGCTTAAGGCCCATGAAAACTACTGAGCCAGAGACATTATACATTAGGAACAGGGCCTCTATTATTATCCTCTTCATGTACAGTTGGTGTTGCCAGAGTAAAAACTGGAGAGGGGTCGTGTACCTTTAGTATTTTTGTAGAAGAGGGAATTTCAGGAGATGATGCTTGTCATGCAGTCAGGTCCCAAGCAACACCTGCTGAAATTCCCTCATCTACAAATCCATTAAAAGAACAGGAGCCCTCTCCAATTTCTACTCTGGTAACCCTACCTACAATATAGATGACTGTACAGTATTAAGAGTACCATCTCATCTAAGGATGTATGCTTAGAGAAAGGAGGATTACATATATTACCATAATTACAGTGGTGGAGGAGAGCATTACACACATTACTAACATTCTAGGTTAGGGATGGGGATTTGTGGCCCTTTAAATGTTGTCAGACTACAACTTTCAACATCCCCCACTATTGGCTGTGCCAATAGGAAATGCAGTCCAACAATATTGGAAGGACCACACATTCTTCACGCCTGCTTTAGTCAAAATGTGAGCAGAGTTAGCAATAACCAGATAATCCACACTTGTTGTAATCTAATGCCTTTATTGACCATCCGTCATTGAACAGTTGATAAAGAACAAACACATGGAGCCAATTTTTATTATTAAGAAATCATTGACACAGGGAGACTAGTACTTGGACTCTCTGTAGCCAAGGTATAAGCCAGACTTCAAAATAGCAGCTGAATGTCTAAAATGAGAAAAGAGAGAGATTAAATCAGTCCAAAGGTGGAACTCAAAAGGTTTTTCCCCCCCCACACACACCCAGTATCTTGACTAGTACCTTGAAAAGGAACACATTTTTCCAAACTCTCTTTTTGTGCAATCTTAGGGCAAGGAGATGTGGTCACAGTTCCTGCAACATTATGT